GTAATATGCCAACAGCCTCCGATCCCTAAATAAATAACACATTTATACTATTCAGCCTGTGTTCCATCCCACGACTGTCCTTTGCCGCTGACATTCAAATAACCTTTCTTCTGCTGCATAAATGAGAATAAAAAAGTATTGTGTTGTGCGACTTCACATGACAGCGGACCCCTGGCAGATGAAGAGAGGCAAAATTCGGATTCCAGCTCTTGTTAGGCTGTCGTCGCTCTACGGCTAGATCCGACAGTCATGGGTATCTGTTTAGAGAAGACTGTTTATCAACCAACAGCTGATTTCCAACGCCAGAGAAATCAGTTCATGTAGCAAAATAGATAGCTGCACACAACCATGGAGGAAGATTGCTTAGCACACATTTACCAGCCGGTGTTGGTGTTTGCTGACCATGCGTAAATTCTCTGTTTTTAAGAAAATCTGCTTTTGTATAACAGTCCTGGGAGCAGGCATGTGATCCTCATAAGCTTTTGTTTGGTTTTGTTGCAAAATATTATAAGAGGAGAATGTATTAACACAGTTTGTCTGATGGGAGACGAATTGTTAATCTGCTCATAATGCTGTGCCCTGTCCAGTTCCTTACATAATCTCTGACATGAGCCCACTGGCTTGCGTCACTCTTGTCATTGACAGCTGTCAACACAACACGGCCGACGTGACACACACGCACGCACACACACACACACACACACATATACACACACTGACTGACACAACTGACACAGAGAAGCAAATGTGTTTTTCGTCCAACTGTTTCACATGCTTTCTTTCGGAACGATTGTGCATTGTAAATAAGCCAATGAAAAAAACATGTAGCACCCCTGCATGCACAGAGCAGTACAGAAGCCTCGGTGTCAGGCCTCATATATTGTGCACCTCTATCATGAATCATCAGGCCATGAGAAAATGATTTAATGGTCCAATCGAGTAATGGGTTAAGCTCTCAGCATTATGACGGTGGCACTGGGCATGGGTCTGTAATGTAAGGGATAATCGTAATCCTCCAGCGTTATGTCAGTAGTCCAAGGGTTCAGTGGGAAAAGCCAGGAGATTTTGACTAGTGATTTTCCATGTTTGCACAAGCCTGTAGGATTTTCAGTTTTATTTTATTTTGTATATGTTACCAGCATCATGCTATATTGAGCATTTGAACAATATAAAAAATAATTGCAAAGAATTAAATCAAATGTTTGTTATATCTGACAAAAATATAGTCTACTATAGCACACATAGATGCATACTAATTGCTCATTTCTCCGCTTCTTGTGAATGTTTATGGCAGTGCTACATTTGCAGCGCATATGGGAAAAGTGTCTGTTCAGAGCCTATAATGAAATAAACTATGACAAGGCCCCTGTGAGCTGTTAGTGTGCTTTTGGTAAATTGTTCTGGGTGTTTACATGTGACTGTCAGTTTCCAGGTCTTAATAATGCACTGTGGTTTTAGCAGCGGGTTGATCTCTGTGAAGACAGTGAAGGGCAGTGGGTGATCATGCAGAGGCCACGCTGCCCTATTGTACATGTGCTCTGAGTGACACGTCATCCCCTCAAAGGGCCTGCTAGTGTGGTGAATCAGTGTCCTTGAACTGCTCAGCCACAGACAGACAAAGAACAAGCTTTCACATTCGGCCTGACTGTCTCTTCTCTCCGCCATGCCCATTGTCCAAGACACCCACGTCAGGTTGCACTGCTGCATACAGGAAATTGGTGTTGCGCTGCTGTCCAGTCCTCATGGTTATCCACGTGGTATGATTGCACGGCGATGTGATTCACACATAATCTTTGGCGTCTTAGCAGGTGTCTTTGAAGTGGCCTGCGTGCAGAGGCCATCTCACAGTGCTGTGAGGAGCGGCAGGCTGCTGGGATGGGCTTTAGCATGGCTGCCCGTCTAACTGTGCCTGGCTTTGATGTCGTAAACAGAGCAGGCAGGGCTGGCTAGCAGGGAAGGGATGCAGGGAGGCAGGCAGGCAGGCAGGCAGGCAGGCAGGCAAGCAGGCAAGCAGGCAGGCGCGGTGAATGGGATCAGTGGCAATGCGCTGGTCAAGCTCAAGCGAGCCAGCAGCTGCCTGTTTCACACCAAGAGGCAGTTAACACCGCAGCTCATGTCAATAGATATTGACTGCCAGATTGGGACTGCTTATAAACGCAGGCCTTTTTGTTTGACTGACTCCCCTGTGTGAATTCAGTTTAAATCATCCTCAGTGTCAAAAGTGTAGCTTAGGGGCCCCACGACCAGTCACTCAAGAGGACAACTTGCACAGTCATACAGATACACAAATATTGACTCAGGCTGATGATGTAGGTGAATTAATGGCCTATTTGATCTCCATTGTGTCATTGCTCAGTGTTTATTCTCCTTGAACCCCTCTTTTTTGAAAGCGGCTTCTTCCAGAGTGGAAATAACTATATGTTCAGACTGAAATCTTTTCTCATACAAGACACTACAGAGCCTGTCTCAGCCGGTCCAGAGACAAACCCTTTTTACTGTTGAGTGCACTGAGCATCCAGGGGCTTGTGCAGCGGTGGAGTGAGAGGGTGTTAGCTGGTGAGGCTGTGCGCACTCAGGGCCTTCCTGCTGCAGATAGGGCTTTGTGAGGCATGCTTGTGTTTGTGTGTGTGTGTGTGTGTGTGTGTGTGTGTGTGTGTGTGTATGCCCTGCCCGGCCTGGCACCCCCGCGTCTCTACTCCCACTGCTTTCACCTGATGTGGCACAGCCTCTGTCAGGCCTGAGCGAGCGCCCAGCCAGCTTCGCTTCTTCAGGAAAGATGAAGGCATCTCACAGCTGTGCTGTGGGGGTGGGGAAAGCTAGCAGCAGCCTAAGCCTGGAGCTATCAGAGGCTGGAGCTCAGAGCCAAAAGCCTGTGGGCTGGATAGGGTGGGTGGAAGCTTGGCTTAACTTGGCAAGACAACCATAGCCACAGCCCTGCACTGCCACCCAATGGCAGGGGAGTAACACTACAACCTTTAGTTCAACATAACCACAGCTAGTCATAATTACAACACGCTTCAGTTGTTGTGAGTGCATGTCAGAACAAATTATGTAAGTAATGAGGCTGAAAATGCTAAAGGAGTCGAAACACACTGCACTGCTAATGCTCATGCAGGGAGAACACAAAAACAAACAATAGAGTGCACTCATACAGCGATAGACCTAACTGAAATAACAAGCAACTGTTCACTGCAAGGAAAAGATTAATTATAAATTAACCCTCTCAGTTAGGTTGTCAGAGCCCGCCTCCTGCCTGGATTTCACTCTAATCCGGGCCGACGAGGTGCAGTGCCCTCTATTGTATGTGAGAATCACAAATCGCAGGAGGTGTTGTCTGGAGGAGAATTAATTGTGCATGTTCCACCACTCCCTTTTGTTCATTTTACTAAAATGTAGGCTAATTCCATGTAAACATGGCCAGTCTTGTTGACTCCAGCAGTGCGAGGAGAACAGACACAGATTCCTGAATGAATAGAGTGTGGCTCCGGGGTTAGTGGATTAGAGGCTCTGTGTTAAGGGCCTCTCCCGGGCATGCCTCAGGGACAAGGACATTATCCACATGACACATTACAGGCTCCTAGGCAGCTGATTAAAATGGGCAGGGATCTCTGGATTGAACCCAGCAAAAGTACTTTTGATGTTATCAAACTAGTTTAAAGAGGTTGGTTGTTAAGGTGTACGAGGGATATTTGAAGCTCCTAGTCTTAGGAAGAGACACGAGGCTTTATAGCAGACAGTGAGGCCTGGCTAGAGGGGAGAGGCTGATGTAACACTTTGACATAGTGAATGTACCACCACTTTTTTAATGATTATAATTTTTATTGCATCGTATTAAGGCAAAATTATAATATCCCCCCCACCCCCTTCTAATTGGTATAGACTTGTGTTGCAATATCTCTTTTTGCACTGATTGGTTGGCTGCATGACTGGTTGGAGAAAACCATTACATCGTGAGAAAATATCCCGCGGTGATCTTTCCTCGATTTAGATCAGATAGCAGAGTTCGTCTGGCGCTGCAGTGCACTGTTGGGATGGCGGGACTGAGATGTTGGAGATGTGGAGGAGGGCTGTGAGATAGAGATCTCTGGAGGGGGAGAGAGAGAGAGAAAGAGAGATGGAGAGAGGGGGGAAGACAGAGGGGGAGGTGGAGGTGGAGAGGGATGGAGCATCAGTGGCTGCAGTGATAAAGCTGAGAGCAGTGGGACAAGCTGGGAGTTCTGTGTCTCTGATGTCTGTGTGTTCTGTCTGTTCTGTTGTGTTGCCCTGTGGTCTTCTCCTGAAGAGAAGGCCAACGATGGATGAGGCCTGTCCTCTCAGTGCTTTTGTCCTCTATGGCGCGTGAATCACAAGCCTGTCAACAGCACAACACCACAGCTAAAACCCCCACTGAACCCTTTTTCTATAGCGCACACAAACGTGCACACACAGCCGCTGCCACCGCTCCATCCGAGCGCAGTGGGCATGTTTTTGATTCTTTGTGGCCACAGTGGATTTACTCCTGAGGTTTTTATGGTTTTGAACTTTAAGAGGCTTCGTGAAGTCAAGTTTTCCAGGAGGGAATACATCTCCTCATGTGGCTAAATGAGCCTTTGTCATTGCACACGGCTAGCATTAGCGCTACCGTGATAATATTATGGTTTGTGGGTAGCACGGCTTTTTCCTTATGTGAGCTGTGTTGAGGATGCAGATTGACACTATGTTTACATTGGCTGCTTGTGAGGACTTAAAATGGCCTCCTTCCCTTCACTCACTCACTCAGTCTTACACACACACACACACATACACACACACACACACACACACACACAACTCTGTAAATATTCTGCTAATGCTCTGTGGAAGTGAGGATTCAAAAGCCACCGGATGAGATGTTTTTAGAAGCACACTGCTCTTTCATGTACCAACATGGATCCATGGTGAGGGTGTTGTACAGTGACTTGTGACAGCAAAATGTTGATTTTTTTATTTTTTTTCTTTGATTTTCCTTTTCTTCTCTGCAGCTCAAATCGAAATAATTCCCTGCAAGATCTGTGGAGACAAATCATCAGGCATCCATTACGGCGTGATAACATGTGAAGGATGTAAGGTAAGCATCATGAGACTAAACCTGCTTGTGTCATGGGAAGTAGTGTGTGTGTGTGTGTGTGTGTGTGTGTGTGTGTGTGTGTGTGTGTGTGTGTGTGTGTGTGTGTGTGTAGCTGTGTGTGTGTGTGTGTAGATGTGTGTGAGGGACAGGAGAGCCAAGAGGGGGAGGACAGGGAAAATTGAGGGAGTAAAGAAAGTTGCTTGCGAGGAAAAACATTTGAAAAATGTTGCTGAAGTTTTACGGAGATTTGGAGAGGGACTGCGAAGTGTAAACACCAAGAACATGATCATTAAAGTGGTCAAGCACCGCAAAGGACATCACAGAAAACCACAATTAGTAGTACAAAGTCATTCCTCTGCCTTGCTCTGCCTTTCCCTCCCAGGGACATGTCTTTTCACTGTGTTTTTGCCTCTGCTGCAGCCTGCTCTTCTTGAAATAAAATGATCAAAAGGAGAGTGCTTTGAATTATAGCAGATTGTTGGCTGTTTGCTACAGTGTGTTGCTTCCATTGAAGCCGCCTTTTGTACTGTTTCAAATGCACCAGCCATTCATAGTGAGGGGAATTTTGTGCTTAGAGTGTATTCTTGTCCCCGTGCTTGTCACCAGGCACATCATTAGCATTCCTCAGCCAGGCTGCACCTTTGCTGTTTGCTCGTGTGTGTGTGTGTGTGTGTGTGTGTGTGTGTGTGTGTGTGTGTGTGTGAAGGAGAGAGAGAGAGACAGAGAGAGAGGTTCCTTTCAGCTGTTCTTCTCTCCCTCACACAGGAGCTGGAAGGAACAAAACACTAAAGAATAAACTGCTGAAATCTATCTTTAATGATTGCTAATTAGTCCAGGCAGAGAGGCCTTTAATGATATGTGCGAGTACAAAAGTTTGGACCATAAATCATAGCATTATTAAAGAGTGCTGCTTGTCACTGGCAGTTATAGCCTGTTTCCATAATGGCTTCCATTATAAAGCAACTTGGCAGCTGTCAGCTGTTTTCTTGTAATTAAACAGCCAATGAGCAGCTAATTAAGACATATGTGTATGGAGCGGTAGAGTGGGGCATGTTAATGATGTGCTGGAATCAATTCATTAAGTCAAAGGATGAGGAATCCAGTCGGTGTGCATTCGCAATCCTTTAGCACTGCACATGCCAGTGCTGCGTTAATCAACACTAATAACCCCAGTGAAGAAAAATAGCATCCACTGTTATCATTCCTACCCAAACACACCACCCTCATGCTGAACACACTGCTGATATACAGCGCTCTTTAAATGCCAGATATTACGGCATAACAGCCAGGAAAATACCACCACAGTAGTGTTATTATCTAATCTGTTTGGCAGCGGTAAAATAAAAATATCACCACGAGGAATGCAATAAATCACTATCAATCAGTAATGAGTTTTGTCAACACTAAAACACAACGAAGACATGATCTGATCCTCCAGTCCCAACACATTTCTCCACCCACGGTGGTTCATCCGAGGTGTTTCCGTGCTCCTCTCCTGTGCAGGGCTTCTTCAGGAGGAGTCAGCAGAGCAATGCAGCCTACTCCTGCCCCCGTCAGAAGAACTGCCTGATCGACCGCACCAGCCGCAACCGCTGCCAGCACTGCCGGCTGCAGAAGTGCCTGGCAGTGGGCATGTCACGAGATGGTAAGTGCTTTATGGAAGAGGAGATTTAGGTGGGCGGATGCAGCAGGGTGGCGTGGTGAGTAGACAGAGGTGAAGAGCTCAGGTCAAGCCCATGTGTGGGCAAGACTGTGCTCTGCTGAAGTGCCTTTGAGCCAGTTGCTTCGGGGGATGCTGTTGTGGATTCTGACCTCCCTTTTTGAAGGCAGGCAAGAGAGGAAAGAATTTCCTCATGGGGACCTTAAAGTCAAATGGTCATTGTTGTAAGTTTTTGTGTGTAGTGTAGAGTTAGGGCTTGTTATTTTTGTTTTGGTGTTCATCTGTTTATTTTGAAAGTAAAAGAATGAGGGCAGACTGGATATTTTTTTATGCACTTATACTTAATATATTTACTTACTTATATACTTACTGTATAATCAGCAGCTAATTTGCATTCTCTGTTGCCACAAGATTTTTTGAGCTGTGCTTAAACTACATTGGTCAGCATCTTCTTACAGCAAGAACTTATTGGTATGTAGGGACAAAAAAGTGTCCTTGCAAAAATCTGGCTATTTTTCAGAGAAAATGTGTAAAAACTTATGATCCTTTTCAGGGTATATTACCTAAAACAGTCAAACAAACAACATCATAACTCCATTGCGACAGCCTAACTCACTATGGTTGCTTGGCTGTTTGTTTGTGTGGTACTGTATATTGATATCTTGATGGAGACACAAAGAAAAACGCAGACACACAGACAATGACTGCTATTATTCTCGAAGGGACAGAGCAGACATGTCCTCAGAAAAACCTTGACGTGAACACTAAGACGTCACTCTTCATTCACTGTCTGCAGGTGAGTGCTTTGTCTGCAGGCCTAATTTGTTGCAGTGATAGAAACTAGGTTTGATGAAATAGGAGGTTGTTCGAGGTTGTCATTAGTGCTGCTGCAGCTGAGATGCAGTAATGGGAGCGCACAGGTGGGGATGTGTGCTGGAGTGCTCCTGCTGTGCCGTGCTGGTCCAGACTGGGCCGGGCTGAGGAGATTCTATCAGAACAAAGCAGAGCAGAGTTATGCTTTTGGTTTTTTTTGTAAAACACACACAGACAAGTGAGAACCTGAACATACATGCACAGAGGCCGGCATGCCTTTATGCACACTGCTTTGCTTTAATTCAGTTACACACATGCATACATATTCATGAGTGTGAATGAACACAGAAGTACATTAGCACTTATGAGGGCCTTTGTATAGCCACACACACATTCTCACATCGTACTTAACACACGCACACATGTGCACATGCACACACACACACACACACACGCACACACACTCAGGACAGACGAAGGTGACTCTTGCCTTCACTCAACACAACCAGAGCCCATCTGCCCGCACTCTCCTCTGCATCGCTCCACTGTGCGTAGACAAAAACACACACTTACACAAACACACACACACACACTCACTGTGACCAGCTGACATACTGCCAGGCCCCCAGAACTCTGGCCAAGGAGTCTCATTCTCAGCACCACTGTTTAGTCTGGAAACCTTGAAACAGGAGGCAGCAACTTAGCCTTCTCATGTTTGAGTGGCTGGTAAGCTGTTAGTCACTTCCCACTTCTGCCCCTGCACTTATGAAGCTGTTCATTTTTGCAATAATCTCTGTCATTACTGACCCCCCCCCCCCCCCCCCGAAATATGGAGATTTACTTTTTTGTCATCAGTGTTATCTGTTAAGAGAGTGTCTCACTCTTTAGTACTCGACTGTACATCAGTCTAGTGGCGTATGATGATAATAGCTGCCGTCTTTTGGTCTAATAGCAACATACAACTTGAACATGGATGAGTTTTGTGTGTTACTGTGTGAGAGGAGGGCACATATTGACCTCTGAAAACAGTTTGTAGCCAGCAGGGAATTAATGTGTCCAAAAAATATCCACAATTCAATCCTTTTTCATTGTTGTCCAAACAAGTCATTTTGTCTCAGACTCCAAGAGTTATTTTTTCACAGTGAGGAATAAGAACTTAGTCAATAGTGCGAGATAATTTGATTTGATATGAGATTACTTCACATATCGGAGTGTGTGTTTTTTAGACTCAACAATAAAATTGACAAAATTCACAAAATGGATGAGTAACATGGAGGATGAGTAATTTCCAAAAATTATACATCGACTCATTAACTAGGGCTTTCGTTTTATTTTGAATACAAATGATTTTTTTTGGGTGACTTATTTTACGTTACGCAGGGAAGACCCTGGTTGCCACATATAAAGAAATAAAGTAGAGCAGCATCTGTTTAAACTGTTTGGGCTGTTTCACTTGAGTCTCACTCGTGTTTTTGTCCTGCTAATCACAGCGGTGAAGTTTGGCCGCATGTCGAAGAAGCAGCGAGACAGCCTGTATGCTGAGGTCCAGAAGCACCGGCTGCAGCAGCAACAGCGTGACCACCAACAACAGCCTGGGGAGGCGGAGCCACTCACACCTAGCTATGGCCTCTCAGCCAATGGCCTCACAGAGCTCCATGACGACCTCAGCGGCTACATGGACGGTCACACCCCAGATGGCAGCAAACCAGACTCTGCGGTCAGCAGCTTCTACCTGGACATCCAGCCATCTCCTGACCAGTCAGGCCTGGACATCAACGGCATCAAGCCGGAGCCCATCTGCGACTTTGCCCCCGGCTCTGGCTTCTTCCCTTACTGCTCCTTCACCAACGGAGAAACCTCCCCCACCGTGTCCATGGCTGAACTAGGTAAGGAGCGGGAGAGAGAGACAGGGGGAGACAAGAGGAGAGACAGCAAAATGGAGGAGGGGGGAGAACAACTCAACCGTGGGGCAAACGACACAAAGGTTGCTTAAAATAGCAGGAGGTTGGAGACTCATCTCCAACACTCATTAAAAGAGCCTCTTTTTTGTAATTAGTTTCCATTAATTAGGGCCAATCAGGATCCAGCAGGGCAGGCGTCTGGGGAAATCATTTTTTTAGGCTCCCCTGTGCCCAGGAACTCCTTTTAACAGATGTGTTTTCAAAACCATTTAAATTCTTATACTCAATATTTCTCTCAGAGAAAATGTGACCTTTGTTTCAGTGAGTAACGTGGCACCCCTCCTCCTCTCCATGCATTTGTGTCATAACTAGATTGGCTTTGCCTCAACCTTAAGCTATGAGCTTCCTGCAGGCAGTAAAAGGAAATGTCAACAAGCCTTTTCCCAGTCAAAAAAGCCCACGCGTATCCGCCTCTCCTCCTTCTTGAAAGCTCAGTAAATAAATCTTCTTTTCCTGTGGCATATTTCATCAGTGAGGTCTTCACTTTCTCATAGCCTTGTGAGGAACATTCAGATCTCAACTGTGATCTTCTGGGTTTGTGATGATGGTTGTATTGCAGAGCACCTGGCCCAGAACATCTCCAAGTCACACATGGAGACATGTCAGTACCTGAGGGAGGAGCTGCAGCAGATGACCTGGCAGGCCTTCCTGCAGGAAGAGGTGGAGAGCTACCAGAACAAGGTATCTTGACCGCAGCCGGGCCCGCGCTGGCTTCCACAGCAGTCGCAATCATCAAATACATTGTTTTAAAGTAGATAACCCATTCTCTGTCCTATCTGTTCTTAGCCCCGGGAAGTCATGTGGCAGCTGTGTGCTATCAAAATAACAGAGGCCATTCAGTATGTGGTGGAGTTCGCCAAGCGCATCGACGGCTTCATGGAGCTGTGTCAGAACGATCAGATAGTGCTGCTGAAAGCAGGTATGACAGCCTGTCAACATGGCCTGCTGCCGTCAGACTCACCCACCACCTCCACCACCACCACCACCACCACCACCACCCCCCTCTGGCATTGTCACAAGGGCGTAGCTGACCTGACTGCACAAAGCCCTCTTCTTCACACGCACAGACAGTGTCACAGAGAGGAGACCCTGCCCTGCCTGTTTCCTCTCTCTGTCTCTGTCGCTCTCTATTTTCCTCTGTTCATTACATACATAGCAAAGATGGACACAGCGTTAGATAAGCAATGTGTTCTCTGAGCTCAGATAATACTTATCATGACGGCTGCCATTTCCCCCGCTTTTCCCAGACACCAGTGATGTCTGCCCATTGGAATTGCTCTCGTGAAGACATACTTACAGAATATTAAACACTGATACGGCTCTGTGCACACTGTCACCTATATTTATGCATAAATAGAGATGCTCAAACACACACATACACACCTACTGCGCATGCAGCAAACAAACACCTCTCTTGGGTCTTTCCCTGGGTATTGTTTACATTAGCACAGCCATATGAATAATGAAATAAAGACTGAGATCCCTTGTCAGACATGACATTTTAAAACAGTAGCATCTTCCTTAGAGGCAGTAATGGCTTCTGTTATATTTTCCTGATCCTCTTATCCACTCCCACTGAGTGGTACAAATTACAGCATAGAATAATTTCCCCACCTATCTCACTAAATAAAGGTTGAATGAATAAGCACTGTCACTACTGAATGAAGCACAATTTTTATCTGGCATGTCATTATGGAAGAATAGCCTCCCGTCTGTGATATTATCATCTGCAGAGGTGATTTTTCTTTTCCCTCTGATGGCAGTCGTCTCTATTTCAAAGTGGTTGTGTTACTCATATTGTTGAAGAATAGCACAAAGCACAATCATGTGCTTTGCATCCCTGACTGATGTGCAACTGTTAGGGAGAAAAAGAAAAAAAAGAAAGAAACAAAGCTCAGATTCAGCATCTTGTTCCTGTATGTCTCCACAGGCTCTTTGGAAGTTGTGTTTGTCAGAATGTGCCGTGCCTTTGACTCGCAAAACAACACAGTCTATTTTGATGGAAAATATGCCGGACCTGATGTGTTCAAGTCATTAGGTAAGTAGAGTGGGTGTATGTGTGTGTGTGTGTGTGTGTGAGTGTGTGTGTGTGTGTGTGTGCACGTTTGAGTGAGTGTGCATGTGTGTATTAGTGTGCTGCTGGTGCTGGTGCTGCTGCTGCTGCTGGTGGTGGTGCTGCTGCTGCTGCTGCTGCTGCTGTGTGTGTTTTCTTACAGTGTCTTATACTCCTTTCCTTGGTGTAATAGCCAAAATTAGAGTCTGCTGTTCTGTTCTACACAATGCTGAAGGCCTGGAAGCAAACACTGAGCACTCGTCCCTGCCTCACCTGGCATTGCTGTCTCTGCAGTGGTTATTTATGGTAGAACAGAGATGTTAGTGAGGCTCTGCTGCATATGGCTCCTGTAACTGTGGAATAAATAAAGCCAGACAGAGTGTCTTTTGGGAGAGAGCTATCAAAACCATCATTGATAGTCTGACATAAAACATCTCAGGCAAAAGCAAATAGCATTTGTGTTTGGCTGCCATGACATTACTAAGACTCTCCACCATGGATTTTCTTGCACTTCCAACTGCCTTTTGACGAAAAATGTAAATGTGTCCCATAGTGGCAGTAAAAAATGCTGAATTCTGTTTCTTAGTGTGAGTTTAACAATCCCTGTAACTCTGTGTTTGTGTGTTTACGAGCGAGCATGTGTGTCTGTCCCAGTGTCCTGTGTGTTCTGTGCAGAGGGGTCCGCAGCGGGGGAGGCAGAGTGATGGGCTTCCCGAGCCGCGGTGGCATCCGCCTGTCTCTCTCTATCCCCGATAATTGATTTAACTAAAAGCCTCAATAGTGACCTCATTTTGGCTTGCATAACACCACCCAACTGCCAAAAGTGACTCGTCTGGGAGGCAAAACTCAGTAAAAGCATTGCCTGTTCTGCTCAAGACGCTCCCATGTGCTGTCAGCATGCCGTTCTTTTTCATTCCTTCCCCTTCCTCTCCCCTCCCCGTGTGCCTCTCTCCCAATAAAGATCAAGAGTGAATGTTGTTCTTTGGTCTTCCTCATCCTAAGCCCTCTCTCTGCGTCCTTTGCTGTGGCAGGCTGTGACGACTTGATCAGCTCCGTCTTCGAGTTTGGGAAAAACTTGTGTTCTATGCACCTGTCTGAGGATGAGATCGCCCTGTTCTCCGCCTTTGTGTTGATGTCTGCTGGTAGGTGTCATTCACAGTGCAAGGAAAAAAAAAAAAAAAAAAAAAAAAAGGATAGTACACACATTCACCATGATAAGGAATGCTGTTGCCCTCCTGTTTTTCTCTATCAATTAATATCTTAGACTAGTGGCAGTGCATCATTACTTTTCACATGAGCCAAGTTGCCTACATGTGACTGTGCAGTAACGAAAAGTTCTGATAATTTCCTTTTCAGACCGGTCCTGGCTGCAGGAGAAGGTGAAGGTGGAGAAACTCCAGCAGAAGATCCAACTGGCCCTCCAGCACGTCCTGCAGAAGAACCACAGAGAGGATGGTATACTTACAAAGGTACAGTGCGATGCAGTACATGCTCCATCCATTATCCCTGAAAGTGGCTGTCTGCTAAGCATGTTGTAGCAGTGTAATCTCCTGCTGTTTAGGATCTTTACCCACAGGCTATCAAACATTTTTAGTACATTAGATTAAACTAATAGATTTCAGGGGAAGCATTCATAATGTTACATACTTTTTTTATCAGTAGAATAGTGGCAATTTATCAATTGTACCAGCTCCATCATATGAAATGTCAAGTTTTCCTCGTGTCTGAGCGCTTGGCTCAATATTTACAAGTCTGTTTGCCCCTGTGCGAGTGGGAATACACTGTAGGGAAGAATGTTTTTCACTACCATTGCTCCATGTCCTTGCCTCCATGTAAATCTAAACAGCCTGTCTCCTCTCTCTCCACAGTTGATATGCAAAGTGTCGACACTGCGAGCGCTGTGCAGTAGGCATACAGAGAAGCTTACAGCTTTCAAAGCAATATACCCAGACATTGTGCGTGCCCACTTCCCCCCCTTATACAAGGAGCTGTTCGGATCAGACTTTGAGCAGTCCATGCCCGTTGACGGGTAGCAGCCCTGCCAGGTGCCAGTGTGCCCACCGTAGGGGAATGTGGAGGAGGAATCTGAGACACTTTATTGGTGCCCTGCACAAACCAGAGCGGACAGATGGCACGCTGTTCAACTTCGTCTTTTGCATTGGAGGGGAGGGCTTAGGGAGTTGATTCTCAAGGTTTACTTTATTGAATTTAGTTCTCTTTGGAAGACTTGTGGGACCCGACACCCCATGGGACATGAAGAGGAGATAGGGACAAATAATTTCTGTCTGGTTGAATTTGACCTTTTTATGCGCATTTCTAACATGGAACTTGAGAGTCATTACGATCATTCATTCATTTTCACCAATATTTATTGAATCACTATTATGATGATTTATCTGTGCATCTGATTTGTAATCATATAAACAATTAATGTGACACTATTGGCATTAAAATAGCTGAAGACATCTTCAGTAGATAAATGAAGAAGATAATGAAGATGAATCAACATCAGTATTATTTTTCAGATTACACTCCCGAAACTGTTTTTAGTATTTTCATATTCAACACTTCAAATAGTCCTGTCCCTATCCCGAAATAAAAAGCGGATAAATGCGCACACTTTGGTCAAGTTCAGCCGTTTTTCTCTTGTGTTCAGTCGTATCTTTTGGACGCAGTGCTTGGAATGAAAACTCACAGCAACTTTAAGGGAGGCTCCGTCGGCATGGTGATGCAATCGGTACCTCTCTATGGACAATCGTTTAAAAAAAAAAAAAAAAAGAAACATAGAATTCTGGTAATTCTAATGAAACCGCAATGATTTTAGCTGTCAAAGACTCCATCCACCATTGTTGCATAGTGAAATCATGTAAGGCCATCTGCTATTAATCCTTCTCTGGACAGGTGCCCTGGAGAAGCACAGGGCACCAACACAATGAAAAGGGTCCATTCCACCTGTTTTATAATGTACTACAGGGTATATGGTCATAAGTACTTACTATACAGAAAAAAGTAATGTTTATAGAATCTATTTTAAATAACATGTATGATATTAGTAGTTAGACCATTCTTAATTGTTGAATTGATAAGGCACTTTTATTTACACCTTTCTTTAATTTAAGACGTGTATATTTACCTAGTGATGTGTTGCATGTGCACAAGAAATACAAGTTGAACCATGGTCATAGAGGCGGGTCCTGGGAGCAACAGATGATACTGGTCTAGAAGTTGTTAGGGCTGTCTGGTAGGATGGCTGGCGTGGCTGCTCGCCGGTTAACAAAGAGGCATGTATGAGAAGGCAGGTTAGAGACACTCTAATCACCTGTTAGCTCAACAACTGCCTGACAACACCTGTCAAAATGTAGCTCTGATACTTCTTTTAGAGAATATATGCACACGTACAGTAAAGGTAATGTTACCGTGTCAAGGCTTTCCTGTTCTGTGTTATGAACAGACGTGGATTGAACAGCATTTAAAACATAAGTAAAACAAAGGTATGGTGAGACATTTGCAATACAATGGTTTTCATATTCTGTCATATTATTTTCTAAATATTTGGTCCTCATTTTATTGGGAAAAGGTAATTTATTAAAAAACATAAAAATAAAACATAAAATCAGCCAGGTCTAGCAAATCAATATCGAATATTCTTGTGGTTGAACTGGAACGATCACACATTGACTGTAATCCAATTGTTCCATCTAGTGGAAGCTAAAGATACAGCAAGCTACTTAACAGCCTGATGACAAAGATACGTTGTCTAACCTAAAAGCACATTTACAAGCTTCTCTCAGACGGTTTTTGAGTGTTTGTTTTTTTTTTGTTTTTTGTTTTTTTTCTTGGGGTGGGGGAGGGTTTGTAGTTATTTTTGAGTGGCTTTGTCTGCCTTCTCACCACAGCCTCCGCCCGGCAGCACCGCAACAGGACACAGAGGAAACAGTGAAGGGAAAGTGAATATTCAAAGCCTTGTCTGGTAGTAAAGCTTCTATTTTTGTAACATGTTTTGGTTAATAAACTCATGAAAGAGAACGAGGGAGAGAAAAAGATGTCAGGTAGCACTTAACTATATTCCTGCAATAATTAGACTAGCTGTTGTTTGTATGATTAGGGGAGAAACATAAAAATGGTAGGACAAGTGCTATTTTCAGAATGCTTTGTTGTCGTGCTTCTGTTTTGTTGAGTGTGTCTTTTCTTGTCAGTGTGGTAGTAAAGTGGTAGAAAAAACCCTGGATGTGCCAAACAGTAGTCGTTGCTTCCGCTTTCCAGTCTACTCGTCTGTAATGTAGAATGGATTCCTAAGACATTCCAGCAATCTCAGTAGCGGCTTCTAGGAATATCTGTAAAAAAAAAAGAAGAAAAAAACTGGAAAAAAAAAAAAAAAAATGATATCCCTTTAGAAATCCAACAATCCAACAAAGCATGTTAACACATCTGTCACCGACATAGAATCCAGTTGTTTGTCTTTTGTTTTCTGTTTGCACACTATCATTCCTCTGCCGTGCAATTTGTACAAGGCGTTAATGCCTTGTGCTGTCACCCCTCAGGGAAGAGTTTCTTTTGCGCTTTCAGTTAGAGAGGACATTTGTTTGTACTCATTAGGTTTAGTTTGTTGTGTTGGTTTTTTTTTTTTTTTTTTTGGTTTTTTTTTTTTGTTCAGGGATGTGTCCATGAGAGGTGGTTGAGATTAACATTTGAATATTCATCACTGAGTTGTTCAGAATTTTACATTCTTGATGGGGCCTCCAGCCACTCAAAGACCACTGCGCCCCTATGGTCAAGTTTAAATAGAAAAAAAAAAAAAAAAAAATCTCATTTGTAAAACCAACAAAGCCCATCACTTTTACAAACCACAGTTTTATCAGTACACAGCATATTTATCACACACACACAAAAAAAAAATCTGTTTTGGTTTCAAATGGTGTCATCAGGGTCTTTAAAAATGATAACCCTCTTTGTTAGAAAAACCAAATATTCTTATGCAATACTAAATCTCTTGTGTTTGGGTTGTAGTAGATATGCTGTACCTAAGTAATAATCTCTGTTATGATCCAATGCTATTTGGATATGCACAAGCCCTCTACGACTAGTAAACCTCAGTCTCCCAGCAAAAGAAACCCAGTCTGGAACACTGCTAGACAATCCAGGTTGAGAGGCCCAGAGGCCCTGCAAGAGCAGCGAGGAGGGTGAGGTGTGAATGCTCAGGGAGGTAACAGGTAGACTGAAGAAGCAGCTCGCTTTCCTCTGGATAGTTGCAGAGCATTTCATTAGCTCTTCTGTGAACTTATTAGCACTCAATTGATAAAGAGGAGGTGGCTGAACTTTTTGGCATAGCACACTGAACATGCAGTACAACACTTAACTGTTCAGAAAATAATGAAGAGTCGGACATTTGGCTGATTTCCTGTTATTTATTTGCAAAAAAAAAAGAGAAAAAAAAGTTTGTTTCTTGAAAATGATTCAGTTTGAATCTTGTTTGATGGTCACATAAAACAATTCAGTATTTCATCAAATATGATCAGCTAAGGTCTGCCGTCACAAAGTGAAAATCTTATTTTCATTCAAGTCTAAATAGTTGAGTGGCTTGTAATATGTTCGACAATATAAAACGAGCAATATGCCTTGTGTTACAATTACGGGTCTCTACAGTGCAGTCATCATCCTTTTGAATTGACCTTCTTCATTCAGCTGATTCAAACTGATAACATTTCCTCTCAGTCCAGAACAAAATGTAATAAACCCCCATTACTGTCTTCATCTCCTTATGTACTGGTATGGTTGCGATATTGGCAAGATAGCAGAAAATGGTCATCAAACACATGAATACTTGTGTCTAACTATAAACTGCACCTTCACACAGGCCTGTAAAGTGATGTCCTTCTGTATATTCTCACTTGAGAAATCCCAATTTAAATAAGGGATTGATGCTAAGTGTGCTATTCAATCAGTGTATAGTATACAGTAAAATGTGCTGGTCCTTCTGTCTCTGCTCTGTTGTCTGTTTGTAAAAAGCAATAGTGTGTGTGTGCGTGTGTGTATGTATTTGTTCTCACGGTGTGTGAATAAAATAAACCCCAGACAAGGCTTTAATAATTACAGAGGAACAGGGTTATGCGGATGAGGTGGTCTTGATTTTATGTTGGACTTGTTTTTTTTGTTTTTGTTTTTTTTTTTTGTTTTTTTTTTTAAATAAAGGTTTTGGAAATGCTGAGCTTGATCCATCCATAATAGGTGTAGGTTTCAAAAGCATGACATAATGCCTTCAACAATTCATTGGTCTGCAGAATGCCATGAAGCAACATTGACCAGCTTCACGGCAAAAACACGCTTCGCCATCAGCTCGGACAGCGCAGCCACAGCCGAGGCTGAAATGAGCTGAAATGAATTCAGGACTGTAAATTGTGAAAAAATGAGTCTTTGTGACCATAAATTGTGAAGATCAGTGTTATGTCACGCTGAACGTTGTGCTGGAGTGTCGGTGTGTTACCCAGAATTATGAGTCAGTCATCACATTTTAACAGAACTCATTTTCCAAAGCACAGCTGATAAGGATTTATGATTAAAAAAACGTTTAAGAATATAGTTTAAAAAAATAAAAATGAAAAGCAACTTTTAGCCATAATCGAATGTCAAGCAATAATATATGTCTGTGTATTATTTTTGATTCTTTTGTGCATAATAGTCTTTGAACATCTGCATGTAAATACACCTCTTATTTATCACTTTTTGGTTTTTTGTTTTATTTTGTGTTGATTTTGTGGATGTTTTTATGTTTCATCTGTATATTTGACCAGTTCTGTTCCCAGGTGGAGAACTAAGAACTTGACATGGCCTGTATGCTGTATATCTTATTTTCTCACTCTTTCTCTCTCCCTCATTCTCGGCTGTTTATTCACCATATTTAATGTTATTATTGATCACATGTATAAAGGTAGCTTTGTAACTTCTGTCTGTATAGGTAAGAGGAAAATACTGCTACTAAGGCCTACCCAGTGAAAATATTTATCTGTTTATCAATTACACCATATTGTATGATAACTCTGTTTCTAGTTTGCTTCCCTCCTTTAGGATTAGTTTGATAGAGACAGGGTGTGCTGACATTTATTTTGTGTTGCCCTGATGTGTGGTGCTAGGTAAGTTAATTTTGTGAACAAAGTATTGATTCCTAAGCCTGGCTGCCCTCTTAGTACATTCATTTCATTGCATATTAATGTATTATTGATATTAGGACTCAATAAATGATAATAATAATGAAAATGATAGTGGTAAAATTACCCAGCCAGTACCTGTATCAGTGTGCTCGTCTTGGGGTAAGGCACTTATTTCCTTCTGACTTATAGCAAAGCTAGTATCTGCTAATTAACAAGCTATTTAAGGTTGCTTTTCTGGTTTGTGGAAAAATGATAATATTCAAACTGAAACGGCAGTATTGTGTTTTTTCTTTGTCTGATTGTAAAAAACCACTCACTGAGGCTATAGTTTGTCAGGTTTTAAGATACTAAATATTTACCTCTCTTGTGTCGGCATAGTTCTTCACCTGATGCAGGGAAGTGGTGCTTGGATTTCATTAAACAGAGCCTCGGTATGCTTTTGTTATTCCCCATTTTAGACTAGCCTGAAACAGTGGTTTCTTCAGACCAGTGGCATAAGCCTTTTGCACCACATGAAGTGTTACAAATGTACATGAAAGGATTGCCATTTGAGGACAAAGTTGACCTTTTCTCTCCACTCTGTAGCAAATATCAGTAAGAATATGCTTGCAATAATACACAACGTATCACACTGAGTGCCTCTCGGTGTAACAAGATGCATACATGGTTTTGATTGTCTTTTTTTGTGGTTTTTCCAGACGTGTACTGAAGTGACAATGTGTTTTTGTACATGAGGATGAATTCTCACTCTCACATGCTTCAAATGTTTTTTCAGACTCTTTCTTTCTGTGTTGATCATTTTCACGTGGGTTGATGCGCTAAGTTAAAAGGTTTTAATGTATAGACAGTCTGTTTAGAGTGTACATGTCACCCCCCCCCCCCCCCCCACCTTGTTTGAGAAACATAAATGGGAAGTTTGTTTCATATTGATCTTGAATGGTCAAATAAATGCTCGCAAATAATATTACAGAAAAGTTCACCTGCACATTGTTTGTTTCAACTAGGCAAAAACTAACAGGCAATCCATATTTTCTTCATTTTCTGTTTGTTTTATATCAATTTTATTTTTTATTTCGCTGAGTACAGAAGATTTACTAATGCATTGTATATCAAGTATTTGTATGTGTTTGTATAAGAGGCATACAACACATTTGGGTTTCTTTAATGTTCTGTGTTCAATGTGCGCTCAGTCGGTCGGGGTAACTTAACATGAAGGGTGGGTGGAGCAGGGGTGGATTCGGATTCTTTTTCCATGCAAAAGCAGTTCAAATTATGGGAAAGCCGAAACTAGTGTGTGGTTGTCACAAATTTCTAAGTCACACGTTTGCTACTGATGTTAAAATGGGGACAGATGATCATGTACCTTTTTATCCAGCTCTTTTGAACTCTCTTTAGCAGGTAGTCTATTCACAAACGTAGTTTTGCTCCTTCTTGTCTGATTCTTAAATATGAAAATAAGTATTTTGATTCATTTTGTAAATACAGCTGTAAAGAAAAATAAGAAATTTAATGTTGTCTTTTAAATACTTTTCATTCTAATATGAATGTTGTTATATTGTACTTAGAAACTGTACCTTTAATATTACCTTTATTAAAAGTGCATTGGACACATCGATTTTAGATGTGCTTTATGTGCTGTTATCCCATAATAAAATTTACCGCTTGTAATGGGCTTTTATTTCCTGACTGTTTAACTGTTTCTGTTGTCTGCTCTCTCACACACCACACAAACACACACACACACACACACACACAAACACTTTTTTAATAAAATTAATCAAACTGAATATTTTTGATTCACAATAATTTTATTAGGCCTAATCATCCTAGTGACTCAGTATTTAATCAAAGCTCCACTCCACTGGAAACTGTTCTCCAAATGTTCTGTTCTCCTATGAGCAAATAATGTCATTAAATTTGTAATACTTGCATCAAAATATGTGCAGCTGGAAATGAAAATCATGAGTTTGAATTTTTTTTTTTTAACCATACTCTAAATTAAGGTTTAGAAAGCATATCAGTGCAAGATATTTTATGAAAGACGTCATAGCAGTCCAAATTCATTCCTGGAAATGAATCCAATCCAATTTCCCTGCAGGGAAAATTAATGTTTAATTCCATTTTCCTATGTAATACCTTGGCCATTTCGATGATGTGTTAAGAACTGCAATGTGATAAAGTTGTGTAATAATTTATATGAATTTTAAATTAGTTTTCGCTATGTACCCATCAATGTCATCTCCTTAGATTATTAGTAAATGTGTCATCATTTTATCATTCAGTGAGTTCAGAAAAGGCATATCTCCATTTTAGGTAAGCCCAAAATGAGGTTTTGGACTATATTTGTTTCCAGATAATGATAATGGAGAATTATAATTGAGTAGAACTCACCAAAACAAGGGTGCATGTACCCTCTCGTTGATACCTGAGCCAGATGTGGAATAGCAGGGATAATATCTGCAGATTTACTCAGGTTTATGCACACAATCAAAGAGCAGGTAAGGACAGTATTTGGGATTATTTTAATTCATGCTTTTAGAAACAGGCATGTAGACTGTGCTGAGTTGCAGAGAGAATGACTGGAGGAGAAATGGGCAGCTAAGGTTCCTTGTCTTAATGGACAAGAATAAGAATTTATGGAGGTGTCCTTCAGCCACAACAATGAAGGGATTGTTCATTTACAGCAGTTATAACTTTGAGTAAAAATTTCTGAATGATTTTTTTTTATTATTTGAAACAGACAATACTAAGATATTATGGGCTGCAGAGTCAGGTGCTGCCACTCTCTGCCTCTCCCGCTTTCATATTTTAGACAGACACCAAAGGCAGTCTACAAAGATGTTGTTGTTTCATGGACGTGTTTGCTAATATTCAGTAAATAGGCAGATAGACAGACAAATGTCCACAAGGGGGCAGCAATGTTCACAAAGCTTTAATATCAACATAATTTCACCAGACGAAGAATGGCGCTAGTCAAACGTTCGTTAGCTGGCTAATGCTAACTGACATGTTTACAGTAGCGTTTACGTTATATGTTGTGATTCCTGCGGACCATTAGAAAGGGACAACAATGGAGCTGGTATGGTAAGTAATGCGTTCACTGCAAACTTTTGCAGACTGTGGTGGTAGATTTTGAGACAGCTCGGGCTATTTAGCTAACCTATCCTCTTGACTAGCTCTTAGCTAACAAGCTAGTTAGCATACTAAGCTAAGCCCGACTGAGAGTTGTGTTTTGACTGACTGTTAACAGCCAGCCGTGCTAACCAAACGTTAGCTACTTATATGATAAAAGTGTCCCCAACCGGACAGCGATTACCATTATGTGGCTGTTCGCAGCTATTATTCCTGAACGTTTGCTGTTATATTTAAAGCACGAGTCTGTACCGGGGAGGACTAAACAGAACTGCACCAGTTAACCTTAGCTGTCAGTCAAACTATTCAGTGAGACAGAAACTTAACTTTAGTTAACGAAATACATAGCATAATAGAATGCAACGTCTAGCATCATTTTAAACCAATGGTATATCATTTTAGCTAAAACATGTAAATATCCTAATCATACTGCTTACACAAAAACGCTACTGTTAATTCATTTATAATTATTTGGACATTGCAATTGTATCGTTGTTGTCAGGATGCGTGTTACTGATAATACAGGACAGTGATTTAACACCGAAATGTTACGATAACGACAATGTCATCCCGTATTCTGATGGTTGAAAGGGGAAGCTCATAGTAACATGTTTAACATGCCTCAGAAGGAGATCTGTGTTCTACCCACGTGTTGTACTAAAATATAGTACAGTTGGCATTATCACAAAATACTGGGAGATAGATATAGCGTTACATTCTCGTTAGTACGTTATTTAGATAAGGTCCTTGCTATTTGTAACAAATTAGGAAGAAACTACTAAAACGAATGGCACATTTTAATTAGTGCCAGATGGCTAATGTATAATATTGATCACAGATTAAATTTGGGTTGATCAAAGATTGGCAGCTAAAAAATAAAACTACATGGCACTGACAAAATAAAATAAAGTAGGCTAGTGATAGTATTTTCAAGCTGAAACAGGGAAATGTTAATTTTATTTGATCTAGTTTAGGCCAACTGTTTAAAAAGGAAATAAGATTAGTATTGAATACGGGTTAATTGGCATGTGCATGCCTCCCATCCACATCTGTCTCTTGGTGGATGCTCATCAAGTATAAAATACATGTGTGTACAATGCGATATCTTAAATATTTTGTTTTTTTGACTTTGGCATTAACCACTATGGCATTCAATGTCATGTGTGACACCGAATGTGTGTTTGGTTAGTTAAATGGTAAAAATGAATATCAAATCTAACAGCTATAATAAAAGCAATGCAAAGATATATTATAATATATTATGTAATATATTTATGTAAAGGGAGGACCCTCCTGTTCCTGACACACCATTCTTTACCAGAGATTTCTACGAAAAATATTCCCTCGCACCTAACATCAGGGAACTCTGGGCCTTTCTCCAAAGGTATGTCAGTAAATAAACATATTAAGTAACACATCAGTTAAGATACATTTTAGAGACTGCATTTTCTTTTCCCCCTTGATTTTTTTTTTCCTCCTAAGTCCTGTAGAGAATACCAAGATAAAACAAGGGTGTGATGTTGGGGCTGCAAAAGCCTCCTGCTCTCCCTCCACAGAAGACGCTGCAGAGTTTAAAGACAACAGTTGCATCAGTAAGGAAGAGTCCTTTTGTGACAGCTCTGATAGCGATGATCCATATGCAGACAGTGTTGCGGATGGTGAAGAAGAATGCAAGGATACCAGAAAATCAAGAGTGAAGCTCAAGCAGGTTGAGAATGAGCCTGTGCCTGCTTACCCTGAACCCAGACTGCCATTCCCTTGTACGTCCACCCTGTCCAGCAAAGACCAGAACACATATCTCGGCTTTTTGATGAGAAAGAAAATCAGTGATCCCCCACAGGTGCCAGCATATTCATCTTAACAGTATTTTGATTCTGACGGTCCCTGTTGCATTTCTTAACTCAAATAATTTGGTCTGATATTTCAGAACTTAAAAGGACGAGTAAACAATGAAGTGATACAGTTCATGAGGTACCTGCAAGCTGTGGCCAAAATGTGTGCCGATGACTACAACTTCATATCACAGGGAGCTATGCAATATTCAGAGGTACTGATGCTTCAAGGATTGCACCTGTCAGCAGCTCTGTGTGATGTGTGTTCACAAGTATTAAAATACAGATCCCAAATTTGTTTTTCAGGATTTCTTCAGGGGCTGTTTGGAGTGCATTAAGACATTTCCTCAGTTCTACCAAATCCATGAGATGACTAGTTTGACAGGGGGAACTTTCAACCCAGGGCTGAATCTGACCTTTGAAAAACAGCTGCTAATCATGGTAATGTACTTTTGAAGTGCTTCTATCACACAAGAGCTGTTCCAGTGCTGGAGGTGTAGGATTACCACTTCATATATTTCTGTTCATAAATGCCATTGTCCAGTTTTCTGTTCAACCTTTCATCTTGAAGTATTGTATTGCAGAATCAGTCTTTTGGTGTTGATTCACTTCTTCCATTTCCATATTTGCACCCTTTATTTCTCCAGGGCAATGTGGATATTACAGACCACAAGATAGTGCCTGCTGATGCACAGCTTGCATCGGATTATCAAAGTGTTTCATCAGAGAATCCTCCAGCTAAAAAAGCTAAGGACATGCACGCTGTAAGCAATTGTCTCGCTTTTTTAATTACTCCAATAAAGTCACAAAGATGTTTTACTGCTAGAATGGGATTCATGACCGCAGGTCTATTGTAACTCCATTTCAGCTCTTGCAGTTTTCACAAAAGACACCAGAGGGTGTTCATGTCTTGCTCAGCAAAACCACTACTAATTGTGTTTCTGAAGGATGCTTGGTCAGGCACAGTACTGTCAAAGTCCAGTTAACTGTAGACACTTGCGTAGTTACTTGTATTTGTTTGATTGATATCGTGGATGTTCTGGTGGTTTGACTTAGTCTTGTTTTTCTATACAGAACATCAGCAGGGATGGCAATGCAGAGAAGCTGTGTGCCCGTTATGAGCCTCACGTGTGTCTGACTCGTGATGCCCTGGTCAAGCTGCTGGACAACCATGGCCCTGACTTTGGGGAGCCATGGGAACTGCCTGTTTGGATCAAAGTAAATCCAGAAAAAGGTACAGCAACACCATTCAGCCACTCAGGCTGTCATGGTGGAAATTAGATTAATTAGGGCAAATTTAGGCTCTACTTCCAGTGGGTACAATGCTTAAAAACAATACATGCTGGCCATCTTCAACTATCAAATCATGCCAAATAATCTTGCTGTTTTATCCCATTTTAAACAGGTGACAACTTAAATCTTGGTTTGCATATATACAGACAGTAGACCTGACCTTACAAAAAACATGTTTGAATAAGATGGTGACCACAGATTCATACGGCTGCATTTATACCAAAGAATAAAGTAGAGTAGTGTGTGCACAGTGAAAACAGAAACGTATAGTATGGTATTGTGTTTTAGTTTGTATAAGTTGGCACTTATTGAATTTAAGTTCTTCTCAATAAAAGATTATAGGAATTCTAATAAAATAGACTGAAAATCACGTAGTTTTAACTTGCTGAAATAGTAAAAAAAAAAATGCTACTCCATGATATGTTTCAAAGTTTAAAAAGACTGCTTGAGATTTTTAGATCATAAGGATCTATGTTTTTGACATATAGGTAATAGATTTACACTCACTGTTAAAAAAAAAAAAGAAAAAAAAGAGGTTTCATGTTGACATTGCATATAAGGAGTTTTGCATCTGATTTTGTTTTTGAGAGGTGAGACATTTTTAATCACATTTGTTAACGAAACACAGTATGTAGCAGTGAAGTGTGCATTTTCATCAAATGGCCTCATGGTGTCACTGTTTCATGTAGTCCTTTATTTCACGTCTTATTTACAGGCAGTAGTCAGAAGAAGACTGTGTACATAGACTCACCCCTCATGAAGACTGAAATGACAGTGAGAGAGAGGAGTCACTTCTACCATGAGGAGAGTTTGAAGCTCTCCATCAAGAAGAATGGAATTAAAAATGTGTTTCATTTAATGACAGAGCTTCCTGCGAATGAGCAGCAACTCTCTGCGGTATGTTGACGTACAAGGAGGTGGTGGTTACAACAGGGTGGTAATATACTGTATGTGGTATGTGTTTTCATCAGGGCAATAATTTTGTTTTCTGTTTCTGTATCAGGAGAGCTCACAAAGAAATCCAGTGTGTTTTGAAAACAACGGTCTTGACTTTGAGGTGGACCTTACTGACCTCGAGACATTTGGAGAGACAACACCTATTAAAGCCCCAAAGAAGCAGAAAATACACAATGAGCAGGATGCATGTGTTAAAACTAAAAATACTACAAGTGCCCCAACTTTAAGTAAAAGTGAAAGGGCCAGTGAGCATCTTGGAAACACTAGCAGCAGTTCACTAGAAGAGATGAACACCTCATTGAGAGTTATGGATGATCCCATGAGAAAGGAGGCAGCCCAGCCAGTTGTGAGTGAGTCCAGTGTGCCAATGAGTGAACTGGTGAGGCAGGACTCTGCACAGGAAAGTGACCAAGACCTTGGGTTTGCAGGAGACTCTGAAGATGAGAAGCTGGTCATTGATGTCTCTGTGTCCCCAGCACCTTCAACACAACCTAAGCCCATATCATGTTCATCTGACCCCCCTCTCACCCCAGTCTCTAAGACTGACCCTGTAAATTCAGAGTTATCTTCCCCTCAAAAAGTTCCAAGGCGTACGCGACAATCCAAAAGATCAAAGGCTGGCGACCAACTGGGAGAGATCCTGCGCATGCAGACAGCAATGTTCAACTCTGCCAACGACACAGGCAAATGCTCCACCATATCCCAGGAGACTAACTCACCCAGCCGAAACACGGGACCCTCAGTTCACTCCCATCAAACGTCTTTGGTAAAGCCCTGTGTGTCTTCATACTTGGAGAGAAACCAGAACCAGGACGGAGAGACGTGCACTGCCCCCCACAAATCTGCACCAGTGGTCAACAACAACACGACAGAGCACAAAAGTTAGTGTCAAATTGATTTTCATTGTGTGGATCTCAGTTGTGTCTGTATGCCACTAACACACAGTGCATTGTTGTCCACTATGCAGAAATACTGTCACAAGACCTACAGGCTAGTGCGGAGGATGAACAAGATTACAAGGCTCCAGAAAAGGGCAACCTACTCTACAAGCTCTACAGTCTGCAAGATTTGCTGGTCATGGTGCGCAGCTCTGTCTCACTGACCCATTCGAGAAAAGTAGGCAGCGGCCAAAACCAGGTATACATGTTAGTTTATAAACATCCTCTTCATATATTGAAGTGTAAAATCCGTATTTCTAACCATCCTATTTGTGTCCTTTGTTTTCTGCCCTAGTAGCATGTGCCAGTGCATGTCTTGCCCAAACTGGAGTACCAGATGAGTTATGGTGTTGAGTGTCTAACCAGCAGTGAGGCTTGCCAGCTGTGGACAGAGACATTGCTCCACTCCAGCACAGTTTCATACATAGGTAAAACTTTTAGTACTGCTACTGGCAATCCTGTTCTTTCTGAATTCTGTTAAAATCAAGGCAGGAAAGTTCCCAAATTGCTCTCAGTTCAAGTGCAGTGCCTTTCATTTCTCAACATAAATGCTAAGAAAATAGTCAAAGTAACATTTATGTGGCTAGAAAAAGAGAATTTTCTCTTTTTCTTCCCTCACTGCGTTCAGAAGAGTCCACAAGGCATATCCTCCCACAAACCAATGGAATAGTCTTCAGATGACTCACTATCCTGCTGCCACTGTGTGGTGATTAAGTTTATTTTGTTGCCATAACAACAGACACATTTGGTTGTGAGGAATTACAAAGAATACAGTGTGCGGAGCTCAGCTAAATGTTGTTTATAGCTTTGATTAAATTGCTTCAATGGATGCTGTCGACTTACATGTGCTGTTTACCTGTAGTTCAAGATTCAGGGAAATACTTTCCTGTAATAGCTGCACTGATTTTTTTTGACTTATGTATGTGTTGTCTGGGATTGTACGTCACCAGCATCTACCCAGCATTATGAATTTCTGTCTAATGTATAGCTCTTGCAACTAGCTATCTCCAAATTATAGGCCTTTCCAGTCTGTCAGCATAGTTGACGCACAGTACACATTGAAAGTACAAGCTTCTATACTGCTTCCTTTTATTCAGCTGCTCTGCTATGAACAACTTTGTAAACAAAAAAAAGTGGATGTAACTCTGCATCAGGCATCTGAGTTCCATGATTTTTTTGAAAGATTTGAAAGAGAGAGAGAAATTGTTAGATTTCCCAGTCAGAAATATTGGACACTGTCGTACTAACGTTAGTATAAGAGGAATAGCCTGTATGAAACAATATGGAATATCTCCCATATAATGCGACAGGAACAGCTGATAAAGGACTTCCTTCTTTGCTTTCTGGTTCGTAGTTCATCATGTGGTTTATCATGTGGCTTACCCATTTGTTTATTTATGGTTTTGGATTTAGGCTTTAAAATAGTCCATACTTGAAGGACGGCACTGTTGAAATAAGAAGGAATTATAAGCTGGAGTGGGAGGCAGGAAAGAAGACGAGACCAACAAGCATTTTTTTACCCCCCACTCAAGCTTGTAACAACGCTGGCAAATCATCACAGACTAATTGCATTGTAAGCACTAGGAATGACATTGATGATGAGGTGAAGCTCTTGATATGCACGCTCATTAGCTCTGTTCTCGGTGTATCTCTCACCCTCTCTGTCTGTCTCTGTAGCTCACATCAATGCACACACATCAAAAGTAGCTCTGCTGAGAAAGCTGCCAGACGACTGGAAACAGAATGTCTCCTGTGGGTTCAAGTGAGTGTCGTTGTGTGCATGATTAGGATTAACCCAAGCATCTCTTTGTGATTATGTTACTTAAGATTCAGTCAGTTCATCAGTTTATCAATAATCCAGGTCTTTTCATCATTGGTCGCAATCATCGCCTCTGTTTTTGTCGCCTGAATCAGTGTTGAAAATTGGAACCCCGCCAAAGTACACAGACTTTAACTTGGTGATATCTCTTTTCCATTCACAGGCCATCAAAGTCACTGAATATACTGCACCACCTATTGAAAAAGCTAACTGGGTAAGATTCTTAGTGCTGAGCTCCTCTTCTATAATTTTCCTCTTTTTATTCAGATGCATTATCATTTAAGACTGTTAACTTATTAAATCATTTCTGCAGAAAGAATGTTAGTTTGGGCATTTTTAATGCAACAGTTTTTATTCGTTGATCCTAATGCAAGCACATGACTTTTTTAAAGTGTGAAAACTGTAAAGATAGATATGAATAGATAACTGTGGATTGATTTGATGAAAATTTGAGAGAGATTGGGTCTTGAACTTTTCTTTAGCGGAAGATCATGTGCAGATGAATTGTCTGGGAACATCTTTCTTCATGCTTTGATTAAGATTAAATTAAGATAGAAATTTTTGTACATTCAGAGCTGACAGCCTTGGGCTAAAGATATGACGACAGTCGGCCCTCGTGTTTGTACTGGAGGGTTACACAATCGATTACTCAACAACCCTCAAAAGATGTGTCACCTTCTGCTTTCTTAAGGCTCTGTTTACCTACATTCCAATCATGTGGCAGGAAACAAGAGATCCCTCAGAGTGCTAATATGTGGGTTTTGATTTTCACACACCCTCATTCACTTCATTTGATTTTGTAGGTTAGACAAAGGACAGTACCTGATTGTGCACAAAGCAGGGGAACCATTTGTGACCTTATTAAAAGCAGCTAAAGTGAGTCGGGGGTCATACAGCCTGCAGCAGCTCCACAGCTCTGTCCCACAGCCCCCAGCCTCTGGCCTCGTGCCCTGGATACCTGTTGATCCAGCTGTGGTCCTACCCTTCCACCGAGCACATGGCCGTGTCCCCTGCACCTTCCCACCAAAACCCTTCCAAAAGGTGTGTGCTTGTTTTTTGTCACTGTACTTACTGTGTTGACGGATGGCACTGTGAAAAAATATGATATCCCCTGAGTTCATGGCCAGACACATCAGTAATGACACACCCAAGTAGATGAAAAGTTGAAGTGTTACTGGAGCTGTTGGGAAGTGCTTAAGTGGTTAATTTTCTAGGAAGTCCACACCCTATCTCAGACACACAAATGCATACAGACACAGGGATTCCCTAAAAGCCAGGATAAATGAAATGCTGTCTCCCACTAAGTTGTAGTGAGCACAAAGTATTTGGCCATTTCCTTATCAGGCAGGCTGAACCAGCACACCACTGCATAGTTTGCCTGCACAAGCCCAAAACTAACGAGAGGGACAATAGGTAGCATACCATTATCAGCAGCAGCTTAGTGTGGTTTATTCGTGTAAGACTCTGAGACATTCATAGAATGCCTGTCAAAAATTTGACATAGTAAAGACATGAACACATCTTTAAATTTGTCCAACAGCAAAAGAAAACAACTGTCAATAAAAAAAAAGTGTTTAGCCGTACATTTTGTCAACATTTGCCACTGACTTCTGAGACTACCAAACAAAAATATTGTTGGAGGATATAATGTGTAGTGCTACTTGAATTTAGCACCCGGTTATTTAAAGATCCATTTTTGCTTTCCTTTATCCCACCAGACGACGAGAGATGGGTCATCACAGTCCAACAGCTGTGGAGCTGGACAGTCAAACAACTTGAACACAGGAGGCAACACGAAGAAAAAAAAATCAAAACGTGCGGCAAGGCGTAAGAAGTTTATGAAAAAGCTAATTCAGAAGTCCATTTAAAATCCCTTATCATTGGATTTAATATCATGTCATTCTTACCATTTCATATCATAGGTTAGGTAAATCAGAGGAGGAGCCGTGTCTGTGTTGGAAAGGAAGGGAAAGGAAAGGTTTCATACTGGAAATACATAATGAACTTAACTATAGATGTGACAGCTGAAGCACTTTCTACAGTATAGAATCTAAACTTTGTATTTCAATTTTGTTCAGAGATGTTTTGTAGATTTTGTCATTTTGTAATGTTTTGTAAAAACAGAGCAACAATAAACTTTGTTCAAGTGTTCATATGAGAGTGTGGTTATTGTCTGTAATTTGCAGTTATTTGTAAGGTCTGCACTGTGAAGTCAGGATTAGACATCACTTTGAAAATCTACTGAAGGCACGGAGCTCCAGTCGCTTGGAATAGTTTGTGTGAGGGTAAAAGTTTAACAAAGCTTTCAAAACCTTGAACTCTTTGCTGGGGCTTCCAGTGGCTCCTAGTGAAATAGGGTGGAGTTATGAGTGCATGGAAAGGGGAGGGAATCTGAGTCAGGGGAGGTGAAAGGGGAAGCCTTTCTGTATGTTAGAAAAGTTACAGCTCCCACACCCATTCTTCTTTAACATCGCCTGGACAAGTCTCTATCATCTCAACTTTTACAAATAAGGTAAGTTCAGTGTGATCATACATCTTTATGTGGAATAGCATGATTTGTAATCGAGATTAACGTTACACAACAGTAAATAGAGTACAGGTTTAAGTTAATTTTCCAAATTGCAGTCATGAGTCATAACATGCTTTCCACATAGTCTCCATTCAGTTTGTGTTGTGCTTGTGCTGTTTTGTTGTCTTTTTTTTCTTGATAAAACTAAGTTCCTGCCCTCTAGTGTCAGCTCTAACCTGTTCTTTTGTGTGAATTTGAATGTGCTCAGTTGTCATACCAGACTGGAGTACAGTGGCACTTTTTCCAGGGTGTGTCTCTGGGGTTGCTGTTAAGGATATGAAAGTTAGTGTAGTGTCCATCAATTTTAGGACCTAATGTGAATGTGAATATGCCAAAACTGTAAACAAAGGTACTTGCAGTGATTTGTGTGACTTGAATGAACTGAGTTTCTCTGCCCCTGTTTAGAAGACATTGCCTTAAGTGATTATGTGTTCAGACAAAACATGACCCTGTGCATGGTTCAAGTTAGTGACAGGATTACAGTGAGATCTGATTACAAGATTGTATGGTGTTGATAGTTTTATCACCTTTTCCAGGGAAGTCAACATGTCGATGGTATCAGAGTTTCTTGGACAGCTGTCCCTCAACATTGGGGTAATGCCAACTTATAGTTTTTTATTTTTGAAAATATACAGTAGATTATTGCACTGGATACACTGCATACTGTTTGTTCAATAATGCTTTTGTTTTTATCTCTCACACTCACTTTGAATCCTCAGGCCCATGAACCCACGTTCCCCACTGTGGTACCTGCTGTGGACTTTGACCCTGACAGAGATGCTGCCAGAATAGAGACTGCTATCAAAACCAAAGGCAAGATACAAAACAGTGCATGACTCAAAAAAGCCAAAAAAAAAAAAAATCAGTGCTTGGTTCTGCAACTTCTCTCCACAAATGAGTAGCTGGTATTTATGAGTCAGCATCCTGGCTTCAAATCTTTTGACCATGCTGGGAACACCTCCAAGTCTGTGCCTCAGTGCTGCCAGAGCTCTCCTCTGACCACTGACTAAGAATTACTGGCAACAGCCTGACCACTAACTCTTCAACACCCCGCCATTTTGTTGTAATGATAAACATGTTCTATGTGGTGTTAATTTTCTTTACTAGTGAGAGCATGAGGGTTAAAACACCTTGTGACCATGCCAAAGCAAGCCTGCTTTGACACATGACATATAATTCAAAATATAATTCTGTAAATATATTTAGTGGTTGAATTCCATCCCTTTTAATGTGTGTAATCTATGTGTCTTTATTGCGTTAACATTAGGAGTGGATGAGCAGACCATCATTGACGTCCTCACAAAGCGGACCTACTCCCAAAGGAGAGACATCGCTTTTGCATATGAAAGGAGGGCAAAGAAGGTACAGTAGGCCCAGACAGAAAATTAAAAAACCCTCCACAGCTCTGATGGTGTAGTGGGGCACATTCAGTCCAATCAGGTAACATTATTATATTTTTATATTTTTAGGACATGATCTCAGCCCTGAAGGGAGCGCTGTCTGGTTCTGTGGAAACAGTGATCCTTGGACTAATGAAGAGCACGGCCCAGTATGATGCCTCAGAGATCAGAGGATCAATCAAGGTAAAGGACATGGATTTCATCAGTGGATTCCAATGAGGGATTACACTGCCCTCTACTGGAAAAAGTGTTTTTTTTTTTTTCTTGAGATCTGAAGTTAGGTGGTGTATATCTTGTGTCACGTATAAAAAAGTAATGAAGATTTCCGTCTCTTCAGGGCTTAGGAACAGATGAAGAAACGCTGATTGAGATTTTGTGCTCACGCAGCAATGATGAGCTGGTGGAGATCAAGAAGGTGTACAAAGAGTGTAAGTTTAAAAACATCCCAGGAATTCATTTAAAGGGTTGGAAGTACATCTTAATATATAATGTCTCACTCATAGGTTGTTGGGCTGTCTGCTCTCCATGCACTATAACATTATTGTACAACCATGGCTCTCTTTGTCCATCAAAAAGTCTTGTGCCCAGTCTTGAATGCCCTTGAACCAGGAATTCAACAGCTGTGTGATTGTTGTGGTTATGCAGAGAGAGCGAACAATCTAAAAATGAAAATTTATTTCCCACAGTGTTCAAGAAGGAGCTGGACAAAGACGTTGCAGGTGACACCTCAGGGAACTTTGCTAAGCTGCTCTTGGCTCTGGTGCAGGTGAGATCTGTCAGTGCCTGTCTTTATGATTTATACAACACAATAATGTCGAAACTGACCTGAGTCTCATTTCTGTGCAGACCAAGAGAGCCGAACCATCCTCTATTGTAGACTACGAAAAGATTGATGAAGATGCCAGAGTAAGTTGCTATTTTCACTTTGTCTGGAAATACAAGTCAATTGATTTTAAAAGTCAATTTTTTTTTTTTTTTACATATAATTGAAGATTCCAGCTGTGAATGTTAAACTGCTGAAGTTACTTATAGGTTTTGTTTTTTGAAAATTCCTAAGTGTGTGTCACCTCTCTATATTCTATATCTATCCTAAGATCAACCTTATGATGGATATTTGATTTGTGTTTGATATCAAAGCTGTTTAAATATGAACAATTTATTGACTTTAACCAGTTCATTCTTAAAGTAAATACCAAGTCTACTTTTGGTCAGTGTCATACTTTACCCCTAAATATGCACATTTTGAGTTTTTGCATTTAACCAAAAACCGAAGTCAGTCTGAACGAGCTTAGACACCCTGGATAATTTGAACAAACTTTGTGCAGATGATAATTTTGTTGCAGACTTATTTAAAAATACTTATAAATTTTGGTGCAGTCCTATTTAAAAGGGGCAGCACCACTCTTGTGCCTCAAAGTTTAACATATGGCAGCGTTTGCCGGTATTTTGCTGATTCTGCTCAGGCACTCTATGACGCTGGCGTAAAGATTAAAGGAACTGATGTGGCGACCTGGATCTCCATTATGTCTGAGAGGAGTGTACCCCACCTGCAGAAAGGTACTACACCCTGTTTACATGTGGAATCATTCATGCACAAGTGCTGATTTTTACTTCTACTTAATAATTTGAAAAATATACCTCTTAGCAATCAAAATGAATCATCTTTCTCTGTTTGTTAGTGTTTCAGAGGTACAAGAGCTACAGCCCCTACGACATGCAGGAGAGTATTCAGAAGGAAGTCAAAGGAGACTTGCAGAGGTCCTTCCTGGTGCTAGGTACACTTATCTTTATCAGGATATTCATATTCTTAATCCAAGTACTTCCTTAGGTTTGACAGTGGTCCTATTTATTCATCATCTTAAGTAAATATTCTTCTGATGGCTCAGGTTTAGTTATATGAATCACTTTCATAACGACAGAAAATACAATAATAGAAAATGTGCTGTATACATATTACATACAAGTATTATAGAGATACAAAATTTATTATTGTGGATATTTATTGTGTTTTTCTTTTGTTCCAGTTCAGTGCTTTGAAAACAAACAGCTGTACTTCGCCAACAGACTGAATGAAGCCATGAAGGTAGTTACACTGCAGTTACACTCTCTTTCTTCTTGCTGAAATGTGGCTAGTTTGAAGGCCAGACATTTTTTTTTTTTTGCTTTTTTTTTTTGCTTTGGAACAGATGTAAGAAATACATCTGCTTGTGAAAGTGCAATTTTGCTGCAGGAACACAGAATCCAAAGTTGGTAAAAGTTGTCTTACAACGGTGTTGCATCAGCTGCTGTAGTTAAGTATAGAACATGTACGACTTGAGTTAAGTGCTGACTTGTTCTTGTCTGCTCAGAGTAAAGGAGCCAAAGAGAAGATAGTGACCAGAATTATTGTGTCACGCTGCGAAGTGGACCTGAAGAAGATCTGCTCTGAATACAAGACCAACTATGGACAGTCTCTGCAAAAGACGATTTTGGTGAGTGAATTATAAAACATGCCCCTGGCTTATTACTGATCTACAGTTAGGCTTGCTCTATCATGCACCCTGCTCTGTTTCTGCAGGAGCACACCAAGGGAGACTACCAGAAGGCTCTGCTTGGCCTGTGTGGACCAGAGCAGTAAAGATGAATCATCAGTATCAAAAGGGTCTCACTTTCCATCACTGGAAAGGTGCACTGGAAAGGTGGGCTTCCGAATATCACACTTAACTGCAGCAAAAGCCCATCCTACTTTCCACACACACACACACACACACACACACACACACACACACACACACACACACGCACACACATTTAAATAAATTCACGTTTAATTTCAAGGTGATAACTATATCTTTTTGCTACATGAAAAATCTGTATTACAGCTTACCTTTTTTGAAATAAAGTTCGTTTTTGAAGCATTGTTTCCTAATTTCCCTGAATTTCCCCCCAGGTTGTTCTTACTTGAGGTTTACATAGTTATCCACAGGAGGGAGCTATAGTAACATTAAAAGCAGCTGCTGAAAGCTCCAGCTAATCAATGTCTCAGGGCCTCATAATATCTGATACCTGCTGAGGAAATGCAGAGAACTTACATTTTTTAATATAATGAAATATTTGATCTTAAATGACATTTTTGAATTTCATCATTATCCATTTTCCTGCTTATTACAGGGAGTAAATGAAGTTAGAATAAATGAAAACAGATATATAACATATATTTCATTTGCACAGGATGAAAGCAGTTTTATTTTTCATTTTATGACTTTTAAAAAAATGTAGTTAAAATGACTGTTTAAATGTAAAACGTCAGCTGTGCTGATTGAAAACTAAAAGATTTATAACTTCATAAAAAGAGAGTAGCACGACCCATACGGCATCTTTTCATACAAATAATTATGAGAAATATTCCTTCATTTTCCACTATGTGGTTCTATCAAGATGATTTAATCATTAGTGTGTTTTTCTGTGTTTGTTTGGTGCTAATATTTTAATTAAAAATGTTAATTTTACCTCCGGCAAAGATGATTTGCATAGCACTAAACAAGCGTCTATACCGTGTGTTTCTGCTGTTTAGTTTGTGGTCTCTCAGGATGAAATAACCACCACAGTGTTGTCAAGGCATTTCTACTGAAGTATAAGAAAAAAATGGCCCCAAAAGGCAAGATCAGTACTGCTGAACACAGCGATGAGGGAAAGGATGTGAAAGGAAAGCCCGGACATAATAATCTAATGAAAATAAAAGTGGTGTACTGTAACTCAAATATGATAGAAGATCATCTATTATTGGGAGCCAAATTGCCTGATAAAATAATGCTTCTGTCTAATATTTTCACTGGTTGAGTAGCTGAGGAGAGAAACGGTGTCAAGTTTTAACAAGGCTTTGGATTTATGATCATTTTGTAATAATATTGATGAGAACATTAGCCCTTTGTGATGGTTTATGTTTATTGGCAATAAAAAAAATAAAATATAGTGTAAAGTAAGGTAAAACAGTATTTTGCAAAGCAGGGAGTGGGATTTATGCGTGAATATGGTGACAGATTAATCTCTGCATCATAAAGAGGAAAGTACCACCATATTTTTCCCTTTTTTATATGGATGTACAACATGCTGTTCTGTTCAAGGCCAGCCCGTAGGGACCTCCAGCAAACCCAAGGGGAACTCTCTTCTCAATTGAAACGATGCAATTTACTGTCCCAAACGCTGGCACTTCATCATTCAGAGGACTTTAACCCCATGAATGTCAAACACAGAGCATGCTGGGAAAGGAGATGGAATACCTCACATTACCATAACAACTAGTGCCAAATGACAGGCACTCAAAAGCCTAAAAGGTGAAGAATAATACCATAATCACCCAGTAATGTTTGAATTTGGGAATAGAGTTTTGATGGCATTATGTTTAGAAAAAATCTATAGGAGGAGTTGTCATTTTGAAATAATCTAATACACCAGTAAGGAACCAGTGGCCATTCCCAGCTGTCACAGTTATATCCTGGTGGTTTTAAAGGTCAGACAAATCCTGTTCCTTTTTCTAGCACTTGTCCCAGTTAGATCGAACATGTGGAAAGTCCCCCCCCCCCCGCCACCACCCCCACCTCAGAGACAAAGCCCAGGCAGCGCTGCAGGCATCCTGCAGCATTAAAGTTTCACAGTACAGCTGTATAGCTGCTGCCGGCCCGCCAGACATACCAACTGCACACTGGGAAGGTATTAGTTTGTGCTTTTTATTAATTCATTGCATTGAACAGAACTCGCAACTCAGAGAACCGACAGCTTCTTAACGTTCCTTCTCATCTCTCTCTCCTTGACACATCTGAACCTGGCTCAGTATTTTTGTGCAGAGCACCAAAGGGCGTTAAATTATAGAGTAGCAGGCCACCAAGGTCTGCTTTTAATTGTGTGCATCTGTGTGTGTGTGTTTGTGTGCGTGTGTGTTTGCCTGCAGCTCTATAGGTCGCAGGCATACTATAAAAGAGAACTCCTACAGGCTCAGCTGGAAGACCCGCTCCCTCAACACATCTGAGCCGGGAGAGCATGAGTTTGATTAATATTTTCTTAATTATCATTATTTAATTCAGCAAAACCAAAGCTTCTTCAGTGAAAGCGTGGCCTTTGTCTCTGTGATGCTGAATATCCTGGCTCATTAAGGGCATGGAGAGATCCTGTATATGGTAAATAAGAGGCTGTGTCTTACGCTGCAGCCCCAGGGAGAGTTGGCACCACAATGAAGGACATCTCCTTCTAAAGGATGGCGCTGCGCTGATGTTTCTCTGCTCAGACCGCAGAGCTGGATCCTCCGCCTCTGGCATCGTCAGGCCCGCTTCCTTTTATGAGGCTCAAACTGAGACAACAGCACAGGCAGATGAGCGATGTGCACCCGTCATGCCATCAGGCTGCCTCCTTTGTACAGTAGACTGGTGATTGAAACAACATAAGAGAGCAGAAAAAGGCCTGTCTCCTCTTGGGTTCTGGCTGCAGTCAGTCCATCTGCAGACAAAAAAAAAAAAAAAAAAGACATATTGAGAAGTTTATAAAAGAGCTTTGTGGACATGCAACACAATTTATGCCTTTGAAGAGTTCAGCTAAGAGTTCAGGAGCCAAAGAGAATCTCAGCAAGGTTATACTTGAAGCGCACAATGAATCTACTGTTTTATTTCAGCCTGTTTAATACAGTATTTACACATAGGGTGCAGTTAGTAATTGTACGTTAAATCAATCATGTCTGGTAATAGTCACAATCCAGTCTGTTAGAAAAGCATGCCTGGAGAGATAACTAGACTTTTCTATAGTTTATCAGATCAGCAGTATTTGATGCTCAGGGCTGGACTGGATGCTGACTTTTCTCTTTGCTTGAAGCTTCCTCTCTGTTGCCATGTGCTGAAGGGATGAGAATACCCTGTGGCTGGTTAACCTACACGCTTTCTATCTACACCCACTGTCTCCCCTCCGTCAGTTGGCCCACAGAGAGACGAAACTCATCCCCTGTGCCTATTCTGCCACTCGCCACTCTGCCAAACATGCAAAAGGGGGAATTTTCTGACAGAGAGCCATGCTCGCTGAGATCGCTGTGATCCACTTGTTTTGATCAAATGCCTGACATAGGTTGTGGAGGCACAGGGTTTCCCGCTCTCATATCATACTGGATGCATGTATGCAAACTGTGTGTGTGTGTGTGTGTGTGTGTGTGTACAGTTGAATCTTTTGATGGGGCTAGTGTGGCCTCCAGCCAGATGCACTAATGATAATTTTCTGTGAAGTGGTTGTAATGGTCTGGCCCTGGCTTCAGCAGCTCCTCCGTTGTTTGCACATGCCACTGGATCAGTTTGGGTGTGTGTACTTTGCAGCGATGATGATAATATACCAAGAACTGCGCAGGGGGAGGACGGTCTTTATCAGGGTGGCATATTAATGTTTATTTACACCATGGCTAATAAGATGTGTGCTCCGCATCTAGGTGAGACAGAATGATGGTGGGTAATTAAACTGCTTTGCTTTAGATTCATCCATTATCCATACTCAAGCCTGCATACATAATGTAATAATGTAAAATAAGGCTTGTTGCAGCAGTGTATGAGGTGACCATTCGGAGGTGTTTTCATCCACGTAGCACGGTGTAAATCAATACGGCGTGTCACTGCAGACAAAATGTATAGAGATCGGTGTGATAAATTTGGGAATTGTCAAAATATGTATTCAGAACCAAGTGAGATATGATCCTTTGCATAATGCAATTTCGCAAGAACACAAACAGGCTGACAAGACTCATTTGTGTTTGAGCGTTTAGCTTTCAGCCTCTAACCTGTTGGTGGTTCGGGATTGACTGAGTGGGTCTCTAATCCATATTGTCATGATGCTTAATCCCATCTACTGAAGGCAGGGCCTGTCATCAATGTCCTTGTCGAACTGGCCACTGGACCCTATGCATACACACATACACACACACACACACACACACACACACACACAGCCTCACCTTCATGCAGGAGATTGAAATCAGCTAGGCAGACACTCAAGCATGAACCAAATGTCAGCGACAAGCCACAGGGAGAGAAGAGGAGCCCATGTTAATTATTACAGAGAGAAATCATACTATTTCACCTGCAAGACATGCCATCCAGGATATCTGTGGATCATAAAGTCATTTTCTTTTTTTCCCTCTGGGGATAAACCAAGAGGAGACACAATTTCAATGAGTAGGTCTTTAAAAGCAGTGATTAACTTTGTGATGGATGTGTTTTTTCTGCAAGCTTTTGCTTATCACATTATGGAATTGTAATGTGTGTACTTCTCTAAAGTGAGTTGTAATGATATTATACAAAACAGGGAACATTGAAAGATGCACGAGTTGGAGAAAACTGCAGGTTTTTCTTTTGTTCATCAAAATGTCAAGGAATTACAGATATTGTTTGAACCCAGACTGTGAAGCTCTGCCTGCTCTGACAGGAGAAATGCAAAGTTTTGGAAAGGTGTCTACAAATTTCTTCCCTCCGCTCCGCTTCCCTCTCATTTGATTTTGAACGTTTTGGAAAAAAAAAAAAAAAAAAACAGCCTTCCTCCTCTTCTTCTTCTCCTTCTTCTTCTTCTTCTTCTTCTTCTTCTTCTTCTTCTTCTTCTTCTTCTGACAACACGTTTCTCATGTGACACTTAACCTTTGGAGATTTCCCATTCTCTCTGATCATTCACTGTTTGGTTCATGTTAATTAACCCTGGGGCGCAGTAGAGAGTTGCAGGCTTTGAAGCAGGATAATATATATATATATATATATATATATATATATATAGGCAAGAAAGAAGAAAAAGGAGAAATGGTTTTGTTGTTTTCTGTTTCTTTTATGCCGATTAATTTCCCAATGCATGTGAGAGTCTTGGTGGTGCCAGTGAGGATAATGAGTGGCGTGGGTGTTGGAAAGGAT